ATGGGCAGTGTTGAGTCTATGGGCAGTGTTGAGTCTATGGGCAGTGTTGAGTCTATGGGCAGTGTTGGGTCTATGGGCAGTGTTGAGTCTATGGTGCAGTGTTGAGTCTATGGGCAGTGTTGAGTGTATGGGCAGTGTTGTGTCTATGGGCAGTGTTGAGTCTATGGTGCAGTGTTGAGTCTAAGGGCAGTGTTGAGTCTATGGGCAGTGTTGAGTCTATGGTGCAGTGTTGAGTCTATGGTGCAGTGTTGAGTATATGGGCAGTGTTGAGTCTATGGGCAGTATTTAGTCTATGGGCAGTGTTGAGTCTATGGGCAGTGTTGAGTCTATGGGCAGTGTTGTGTCTATGGGCAGTGTTGAGTCTATGGGCAGTGTTGAGTCTATGGGCAGTGTTGAGTCTATGGGCAGTGTTGAGTCTATGGGCAGTGTTGAGTCTATGGGCAGTGTCGTGTCTATGGGGAGTGTTGTGTCTATGGGCAGTGTTGAGTCTATGGGCAGTGTTAAGTCTATGGGCAGTGTTGAGTCTATGGGCAGTGTTGAGTCTATGGGCAGTGTTGAGTCTATGGGCAGTGTTGAGTCTATGGGCAGTGTTGAGTCTATGGGCAGTGTTGAGTCTATGGGCAGTGTTGAGTCTATGGTGCAGTGTTGAGTCTATGGGCAGTGTTGAGTCTATGGGCAGTGTTGAGTCTATGGGCAGTGTTGAGTCTATGGGCAGTGTTGAGTCTATGGGCAGTGATGAGTCTTTGGGCAGTGTTGTGTCTATGGTGCAGTGTTGAGTCTATGGTGCAGTGTTGAGTCTATGGGCAGTGTTGAGTTTATGGGCTGTGTTGTGTCTATGGGCAGTGTTGAGTCTATGGGCAGTGTTGAGTCTATGGGCAGTGTTGTGTCTATGGTGCAATGTGGAGTCTATGGGCAGTGTTGTGTCTATGGGTAATGTTGTGTCTATGGTGCAATGTGGAGTCTATGGGCAGTGTTGAGTCTATGGTGCAATGTGGAGTCTATGGGCAGTGTTGTGTCTATGGGCAGTGTTGTGTCTATGGGCAGTGTTGAGTCAATGGGCAGTGTTGAGTCTATGGGCAGTGTTGAGTCTATGGGCAGTGTTGTGTCTATGGGCAGTGTTGAGTCTATGGGGCAGTGTTGAGTTTATGGGCAGTGTTGAGTCTATGGGCAGTGTTGAGTCTATGGGCTGTGTTGTGTCTATGGGCAGTGTTGAGTCTATGGGCAGTGTTGTGTCTATGGGCAGTGTTGAGTCTATGGTGCAGTGTTGAGTCTATGGGCAGTGTTGAGTCTATGGGCAGTGTTTAGTCTATGGGCAGTGTTCAGTCTATGGTGCAGTGTTGAGTCTATGGGCAGTGTTGAGTCTATGGGCAGTGTTGAGTCTATGGTGCAGTGTTGAGTCTATGGGCAGTGTTGAGTCTATGGTGCAGTGTTGAGTCTATGGGCAGTGTTGAGTCTATGGTGCAGTGTTGAGTCTATGGGCAGTGTTGTGTCTATGGGCAGTGTTGAGTCTATGGGCAGTGTTGAGTCTATGGTGCAGTGTTGAGTCTATGGGCAGTGTTGAGTCTATGGGCAGTGTTGAGTCTATGGTGCAGTGTTGAGTCTATGGGCAGTGTTGAGTCTATGGTGCAGTGTTGAGTCTATGGGCAGTGTTGAGTCTATAGGCAGTGTTGAGTCTATGGGCAGTGTTGTGTCTATGGGCAGTGTTGAGTCTATGGGGCAGTGTTGAGTCTATGGGCAGTGTTGAGTCTATGGACAGTGTTGAGTCTATGGGCAGTGTTGAGTCTATGGGCAGTGTTGAGTCTATGGTGCAGTGTTGAGTCTATGGGCAGTGTTGAGTCTATGGGCAGTGTTGAGTCTATGGGCAGTGTTGAGTCTATGGTGCAGTGTTGAGTCTATGGGCAGTGTTGAGTCTATGGGCAGTGTTGAGTCTATGGGCAGTGTTGAGTCTATGGGCAGTGTTGAGTCTATGGGCAGTGTTGAGTCTATGGGCAGTGCTGAGTCTATGGGCAGTGTTGAGTCTATGGGCAGTGTTGTGTCTATGGTCAGTGTTGTGTCTATGGGCAGTGTTGAGTCTATGGGCAGTGTTGAGTCTATGGGCAGTGTTGTGTCTATGGGCAGTGTTGAGTCTATAGGCAGTGTTGAGTCTATGGGCAGTGTTGAGTCTATGGTGCAGTGTTGAGTCTATGGGCAGTGTTGAGTCTATAGGCAGTGTTGAGTCTATGGGCAGTGTTGAGTCTATGGGCAGTGTTGAGTCTATGGTGCAGTGTTGAGTCTATGGGCAGTGTTGAGTCTATAGGCAGTGTTGAGTCTATGGGCAGTGTTGTGTCCATGGGCAGTGTTGAGTCTATGGGGCAGTGTTGAGTCTATGGGCAGTGTTGAGTCTATGGACAGTGTTGAGTCTATGGGCAGTGTTGAGTCTATGGGCAGTGTTGAGTCTATGGGCAGTGTTGAGTCTATGGGCAGTGTTGAGTCTATGGTGCAGTGTTGAGTCTATGGGCAGTGTTGAGTCTATGGGCAGTGTTGAGTCTATGGGCAGTGTTGAGTCTATGGGCAGTGTTGAGTCTATGGGCAGTGTTGAGTCTATGGGCAGTGTTGAGTCTATGGGCAGTGCTGAGTCTATGGGCAGTGTTGAGTCTATGGGCAGTGTTGTGTCTATGGTCAGTGTTGTGTCTATGGGCAGTGTTGAGTCTATGGGCAGTGTTGAGTCTATGGGCAGTGTTGTGTCCATGGGCAGTGTTGAGTCTATAGGCAGTGTTGAGTCTATGGGCAGTGTTGAGTCTATGGTGCAGTGTTGAGTCTATGGGCAGTGTTGAGTCTATAGGCAGTGTTGAGTCTATGGGCAGTGTTGTGTCTATGGGCAGTGTTGAGTCTATAGGCAGTGTTGAGTCTATGGGCAGTGTTGAGTCTATGGTGCAGTGTTGAGTCTATGGGCAGTGTTGAGTCTATAGGCAGTGTTGAGTCTATGGGCAGTGTTGAGTCTATGGGCAGTGTTGAGTCTATGGGCAGTGTTGAGTCTATGGGCAGTGTTGTGTCTATGGTGCTGGGTTTAGTCTATGGTGCAGTGTTGAGTCTATGGGCAGTGTTGAGTCTATGGGCAGTGTTGAGTCTATGGGCAGTGTTGTGTCTATGGTGCTGGGTTTAGTCTATGGTGCAGTGTTGAGTTTATGGGCAGTGTTGTGTCTATGGGCAGTGTTGAGTCTATGGGGCAGTGTTGTGTCTATGGTGCAGTGTTGAGTCTATGGGCAGTGTTGTGTCTAAGGGCAGTGTTGAGTCTATGGTGCAGTGTTGAGTCTATGGGCAGTGTTGAGTCTATGGTGCAGTGTTGAGTCTATGGGCAGTGTTGAGTCTATGGGCAGTGTTGAGTCTATGGTGCAGTGTTGTGTCTATGGGCAGTGTTGAGTCTATGGGCAGTGTTGAGTCTATGTGCAGTGTTGAGTCTATGGGCAGTGTTGAGTCTATGGGCAGTGTTGTGTCTATGGGCAGTGTTGTGTCTATGGTGCAGTGTTGAGTCTATGGTGCAGTGTTGAGTCTATGGTGCAGTGTTGAGTCTATGGGCAGTGTTGAGTCTATGGGCAGTGTTGTGTCTATGGGCAGTGTTGAGCCTATAGGCAGTGTTGAGTCTATGGGCAGTGTTGAGTCTATGGTGCAGTGTTGAGTCTATGGGCAGTGTTGAGTCTATAGGCAGTGTTGAGTCTATGGGCAGTGTTGTGTCTATGGGCAGTGTTGAGTCTATAGGCAGTGTTGAGTCTATGGGCAGTGTTGAGTCTATGGTGCAGTGTTGAGTCTATGGGCAGTGTTGAGTCTATAGGCAGTGTTGAGTCTATGGGCAGTGTTGAGTCTATGGGCAGTGTTGAGTCTATGGGCAGTGTTGAGTCTATGGGCAGTGTTGTGTCTATGGTGCTGGGTTTAGTCTATGGTGCAGTGTTGAGTCTATGGGCAGTGTTGAGTCTATGGGCAGTGTTGAGTCTATGGGCAGTGTTGTGTCTATGGTGCTGGGTTTAGTCTATGGTGCAGTGTTGAGTCTATGGGCAGTGTTGTGTCTATGGGCAGTGTTGAGTCTATGGGGCAGTGTTGTGTCTATGGTGCAGTGTTGAGTCTATGGGCAGTGTTGTGTCTAAGGGCAGTGTTGAGTCTATGGTGCAGTGTTGAGTCTATGGGCAGTGTTGAGTCTATGGTGCAGTGTTGAGTCTATGGGCAGTGTTGAGTCTATGGGCAGTGTTGAGTCTATGGTGCAGTGTTGTGTCTATGGGCAGTGTTGAGTCTATGGGCAGTGTTGAGTCTATGGGCAGTGTTGAGTCTATGGGCAGTGTTGAGTCTATGGGCAGTGTTGTGTCTATGGGCAGTGTTGTGTCTATGGTGCAGTGTTGAGTCTATGGTGCAGTGTTGAGTCTATGGTGCAGTGTTGAGTCTATGGGCAGTGTTGAGTCTATGGTGCAGTGTTGTGTCTATGGGCAGTGTTGAGTCTATGGGCAGTGTTGAGTCTATGGGCAGTGTTGAGTCTATGGGCAGTGTTGAGTCTATGGGCAGTGTTGTGTCTATGGGCAGTGTTGTGTCTATGGTGCAGTGTTGAGTCTATGGTGCAGTGTTGAGTCTATGGTGCAGTGTTGAGTCTATGGGCAGTGTTGAGTCTATGGTGCAGTGTTGTGTCTATGGGCAGTGTTGAGTCTATGGGCAGTGTTGAGTCTATGGGCAGTGTTGAGTCTATGGGCAGTGTTGAGTCTATGGGCAGTGTTGAGTCTATGGTGCAGTGTTGTGTCTATGGGCAGTGTTGAGTCTATGGGCAGTGTTGAGTCTATGGGCAGTGTTGAGTCTATGGGGCAGTGTTGAGTCTATGGGCTGTGTTGTGTCTATAGGCAGTGTTGAGTCTATGGGCAGTGTTGAGGCTATGGGCTGTGTTGTGTCTATGGGCTGTGTTGTGTCTATGGGCAGTGTTGTGTCTATGGTGCAATGTTGAGTCTATGGGCACCTGTAACGCTGTCTGTGCATTCCGTCTCTTGCAGGAAGCAGAGACGGATCCGCAAGTAAGGACCCAAAACACACAGGCACAGACAAAGATCCCCCGTGTAGCCTCTAACAGGCTGCAGGGGCAAGTGCTGTTAGCTAGCACCTCACACACAGGCACAGACAAAGATCTCCCGTGTAGCCTCTAACAGACTGCAGGGGCAAGTGCTGTTAGCTAGCTCCTCACACACAGACACAGACAAAGATCCCCCGTGTAGCCTCTAACAGACTGCAGGGGCAAGTGCTGTTAGCTAGCACCTCACACACAGACACAGACAAAGATCCCCGTGTAGCCTCTAACAGACTGCAGGGGCAAGTGCTGTTAGCTAGCACCTCACACACAGACAAAGATCCCCCGTGTAGCCTCTAACAGACTGCAGGGGCAAGTGCTGTTAGCTAGCACCTCACACACAGACACAGGCAAAGATCCCCCGTGTAGCCTCTAACAGACTGCAGGGGCAAGTGCTGTTAGCTAGCACCTCACACACAGACAAAGATCCACCGTGTAGCCTCTAACAGACTGCAGGGGCAAGTGCTGTTAGCTAGCACCTCACACACCGACACAGACAAAGATCCCCCGTGTAGCCTCTAACAGACTGCAGGGGCAAGTGCTGTTAGCGAGCACCTCACACACAGACACAGACAAAGATCCCCCGTGTAGCCTCTAACAGACTGCAGGGGCAAGTGCTGTTAGCGAGCACCTCACACACAGACAAAGATCCCCCGTGTAGCCTCTAACAGACTGCAGGGGCAAGTGCTGTTAGCTAGCACCTCATACACAGACACAGACAAAGATCCCCCGTGTAGCCTCTAACAGACTGCACGGGCAAGTGCTGTTAGCTAGCACCTCACACACAGACACAGACAAAGATCCCCCGTGTAGCCTCTAACAGACTGCAGGGGCAAGTGCTGTTAGCTACCACCTCACACACAGACACAGACAAAGATCCCCCGTGTAGCCTCTAACAGACTGCAGGGGCAAGTGCTGTTAGCTAGCACCTCACACACAGACAAAGATCCCCCGTGTAGCCTCTAACAGACTGCAGGGGCAAGTGCTGTTGGTAGCGAGTAGCAGCAGCAGCCTATGAAGGCTACCGGCACTGTGGCACACACAGAGGGGGTGGGTGGCCAGCACCACGCCCGGCCGCCTTTGTCTCTCCCCCAGTGCTAGCGATGTTCACTACACACCGCTACACCAGCTACTCAGTTGAGGCTGAGTCGACCTAGGGGAGGCCCACGACCGGCATTCGCCACTCTGTAGTGGTGATGTCACCGCGGCGCCAGTGCCAAGCTAGGTGCGCTTTGAGGCCACGTGACGTCTCGACGGCTCGATGATGACGATGATGACGACGATGATGATGATGATGATGACGATGATGACGATGATGATGATGACAATGACGACGATGACGATGACTACGATGATGACGATGATGACGATGATGACGATGATGACAATGATGACGATGATGACGACGATGATGAAGATTATGACGATGATGATGAGGATGATGACGATGACGATGACTACGATGATGAAGACGATGACGACGATGACGATGATGATGACGACGATGATGATGATGATGATGACGGCGATGACGATGATGACGATGATGATGACAATGACGACGATGACGATGACTACGATGATGACGATGATGATGATGACGATGATGACGATGATGATGACGATGATGACGATGACGATGATGATGACGACGATGACGATGACGATGATGACGATGATGACAATGATGACGATGATGACGACGATGATGACGATTATGACGATGATGACGATGATGATGACAATGACGACGATGACGATGACTACGATGATGACGATGATGATGATGACGATGATGACGATGATGATGACGATGATGACGATGACGATGATGATGACGACGATGACGATGACGATGATGACGATGATGACAATGATGACGATGATGACGACGATGATGACGATTATGACGATGATGATGAGGATGATGACGATGACGATGACTACGATGAGGAAGACGATGACGACGATGACGATGATGACGATGATGATGACGATGACGCTGATGACGATGATGACGACGATGATGAAGACGATGATGACGACGATGACTACGATGACGACGATGATGACGATGATGACGATGACTTCGATGATGAGGACGACGATGATGACGATGATGACGATGACTTCGATGACGATGACGACGATGATTGCGACGATGACGATGACTTCGATGATGAGGACGACGATGATGACGACGATGATGACGATGACTTCGATGACGATGACGATGATGATGACGACGATGACGATGATGACGATGAAGACGATGACGACGATGACAATGATGACGATGATGACGATGATGATGACGACGACGACGATGACGTCACGTGTCCCCAGCCCCGTGCCCGTGAGCGGCTTCAGGCAGCACTTTGAGGCGTTGCACCGTGACTCGGACTGCGGCTTCGCTGAAGAGTTCGAGGTGACGTCATCGTCATCAACATCGTCATCATCGTCATCATCGTCAACATCGTCATCGTCACCATCGTCAACATCGTCATCATCGTCACCATCGTCATCGTCATCACCGTCAACATCGTCAACATCGTCATCATCGTCATCATCGTCATCATCGTCACCATCGTCATCATCATCATCGTCACCATCATCATCATCGTCATCATCGTCAACATCGTCATCATCGTCATCATCGTCAACATCGTCATCGTCACCATCGTCAACATCGTCATCATCGTCACCATCGTCATCGTCATCACCGTCAACATCGTCAACATCGTCATCATCGTCATCATCGTCATCATCGTCACCATCGTCATCATCATCATCGTCACCATCATCATCATCGTCATCATCGTCAACATCGTCATCATCGTCATCATCGTCAACATCGTCATCACCGTCATCATCGTCAACATCGTCATCATCGTCATCACCGTCACCATCGTCACCATCGTCATCATAGTCAACACCGTCAACATCGTCATCGTCACCATCGTCATCATCATCGTCATCATCGTCAACATCGTCATCATCGTCATCATCGTCATCATCGTCATCACCGTCATCATCGTCAACATCGTCATCATCGTCATCACCGTCACCATCGTCACCATCGTCACCATAGTCAACACCGTCAACATCGTCATCGTCACCATCGTCATCATCATCGTCATCATCGTCATCACCGTCATCATCGTCATCATCGTCATCGTCGTCATCGTCATCATCGTCAACATCGTCATCATCGTCACCATCGTCACCATCGTCATCATCGTCATCATCGTCAACATCGTCATCATCGTCATCATCGTCATCGTCAACATCGTCATCATCGTCATCATCGTCATCGTCAACATCGTCATCATCGTCATCATCGTCATCGTCATCATCGTCATCATCGTCATCGTCATCATCGTCATTGTCATCATCGTCATCATCGTCATCGTCATCACCGTCATCATCGTCATCATCGTCATCATCGTCATCGTCACCATCGTCATCATCGTCATCATCATCAACATCATCATCACCGTCATCATCGTCATCACCGTCATCATCGTCATCATCGTCATCGTCATCATCGTCATCATCGTCATCATCATCATCGTCAACATCGTCAACATCGTCATCATCGTCATCATCGTCATCGTCACCATCGTCAACATCGTCACCATCGTCACCATCGTCATCACCATCATCATCGTCATCATCGTCATCGTCACCATCATCATCATTGTCAACATCGTCATCATCGTCATCATTGTCATCATCATCATTGTCATCATCGTCATCGTCACCATCGTCACCATCGTCACCACCGTCATCATCGTCATCATCGTCATCACCGTCATCATCGTCATCATCGTCATCGTCACCATCGTCACCATTGTCAACATCGTCATCATCGTCACCATCGTCACCGTCGTCCTCATCAACATCGTCATCATCGTCATCATCGTCACCATCGTCACAATCATCATCATCGTCACCATCGTCACCATCGTCACCACCGTCACCACCGTCACCATCATCGTCACCATCGTCACCATCGTCACCACCGTCATCATCGTCACCATCGTCATCACCGTCATCGTCATCATCATCAACGTCGTCACCATCGTCAACATCGTCATCACTGTCATCGTCATCATCATCAACATCGTCACCATCGTCACCACGACACATGACGCACCAACCACGTCACACGTCACACCAATCACGTCACACGTCACACCAACCACGTCATACGTCACACCAACCACGTCACACGTCACACGTCACACGTCACACCAACCACGTCACACGTCACACGTCACACCAACCACGTCACACGTCACACCAATCACGTCACACATCACACCAACCACGTCACACGTCACACCAACCACGTCACAAGTCACACGTCACACGTCACACCAACCACATCACACGTCACACGACACACCAACCCCGTCACACGTCACACCAACCACGTCACATGTCACATGTCACACCAACCACGTCACACGTCACACGTCACACGTCACACCAATCACGTCATATGTCACACCAACCACGTCACACGTCACACCAACCACGTCACACGTCAGACGTCACACCACACACGTCACACGTCACACGTCATGCGTCACACCAACCACGTCACACGTCACACGTCACACCAAACACGTCACACGTCACACCAACCACGTCACACCACACACGTCACGCGTCACACCACACACGTCACACGTCACACCAACCACGTCACACCACACACGTCACACGTCACACGTCACACCAACCACATCACACGTCACACCACACACGTCACACGTCACATGACACACGTCACACCACACACGTCACACGTCACACCAACCACGTCACACCAACCACGTCACACGTCACACGTCACACGTCACGCGTCACACCACACACGTCACACGTCACACCAACCACGTCACACATCACACCACACACGTCACACCATACACGTCACACGTCACATGACACATGACACACGTCACACCAACCACGTCACACGTCACATGACACATGACACACGTCACACGTCACACGTCACACCAACCACGTCACACGTCACACGTCACATGACACATGACACACGTCACACCAACCACGTCACACGTCACACCAACCACGTCACACGTCACATGACACATGACACACGTCACACCACCACGTACACGTCACACCACACACGTCACACGTCACACCACACACGTCACACCAACCACGTCACACCACACACGTCACACGTCACATGACACACGTCACACCAACCACGTCACACCAACCAACCTCTTCCACCCCCCCCTCCCCCTGAAGGAGCTGCAGGGAGTGGGGAAATCCGAGTCGTTCAAGGTCGCCTCGCTGCCTGCCAACCAGCCCAAGAACAGATACAGCAACATCCTGCCCTGTACGCGCAACGCACACACACACACACACGAACACGCACACACACACACGCACACACGCACACACACACACGCACACACGAACACACACACACGTACACAGCAACACACACACGCACACACACACGAACACACACACGCACACACGCACACACACACGAACACGCACGCGCACACACACACGAACACACGCACACACCCGCCCACATGCACACACGCACACACGTACACGCACACACACACACGCGCACACGAACACACACACGAACACACGAACACACACACGCACACACACACGCACACACGAACATGCACGCGCACACACACACGAACACACGCACACACCCGCCCACATGCACACACGCACACACGTACACGCACACACACACACACACGCGCACACGAACACACACACGAACACACGAACACACACACGCACACACGAACATGCACGTGCACACACACACGAACACACGCACACGCACACACCCGCCCACGCACACACGAACACACACATACACACGTACACGCGCGCACACACGCACACACACACACGCACGCACGCACACACACACACACGCACAAACGAACACACACACGCACACGCACGAACACGCGCGCGCACGAAAGATCCCGCCCAAAGTGGCTGATATGATGATGATCATCATCATCAGGCGGAGATTTCTGGAGGCCAAATAATCTTTTTTGGTTCTTTCGGTAAAGTCACCACGTAGAATGAGAATAAAATAATAAATTGATAAAATAAAATAACACAATAATATTCTCACGACGTTTCGGCCACAACACAAGCGGCCTTCATCAGGTGAAGGGACGAGACTGTCTGGAGGACAGCGCTGGAGTCCTGGAGTCCTCCAGACAGTCTCGTCCCTTCACCTGATGAAGGCCGCTTGTGTTGTGGCCGAAACGTCGTGAGAATATTATTGTGTTATTTTATTTTATCAATTTATTATTTTATTCTCATTCTACGTGGTGACTTTACCGAAAGAACCAAAGAAGATGAATCCTTGCAGTCACGAAAGCTTTAAATCGAAATTTAAAGGCCAAATAATGTTAAGCACATAGAGATGCACAGACTATAGTATTTTATTTTACGGGTGCAAGGCCCGCACTGGGCTGTGGTATGCTCTTCGTTCAGAAGCAACACCTGGATATCATTGCAAATTGTTTCTGATATCATCATAATCATCACCACGCGGAGATTTATGGAGGCCAAATCATCTTTTAGAGATGCATAGAGACCTTTAGAGATGCGTAGACCTAGAGAGATACACAGACTAAAGTGTTTATTTTCCACTTGTAAGCCCCCACGTTCAGAAGCGACGCCTTGATATCAAAGCCGATTGGCTGATATCATCATCATTATCATCACCACGCGGATATTTGTTGAGGCCAAATAATCATAAGCACAGAGAGATACGTAGAATCAAGTATTGTGTTTGCCAGGTTTAAGGCCCCCTCTGAACTGTGTAGTGCTTCGTTCAGAAGCGACGCCTTGATATCACCACCGATTGGCTGATATCATCATCATCATCATCTCCATGTGGACATTTGTTGAGGCCAAATAATCATAAGCACGGAGAGATACGTAGAATAAAGTATTGTGTTTGCCAGGTTTAAGGCCCCCACCGAACTATGTAGCTCATCGTTCAGAAGCGACACCTTGATATCACCACCGATTGGCCGATATCATCATCATCATCACCATCACCACGCGGATATTTGTGGAGGCCAAATAATCTAATAGAGTTGCACAGAGACCAACGGACATGCAAAGACATCCTTAATTTTGTTTTACCCTTTGGCCAATTCCCCGTCCTGTTTCCCCTCTAACGGAATCCTTTTTCGTTTTCCCGCTCAACGCCGCCATCATCACCATCCGTTTCGAGAGATAAAATGACGGAAGAACAAACAAAAAAATGAGGCGGGCGACCCGACTGCTCCCGTGTTGCGATCGAACGGTGTCAATCTTGGCGCGAAGCTTTCGTGACTCGCGGGAATCCACGCCCCAGTGTGATCCCTCCTTCAAAGTCACCACGTGGTAGGTGGGAAACAGAACGACATGAAACAGGTCGCGACGCGAAGCTGGTCGCCATCAGGTGGGACAAGCACATCAAGAGACTGCGGAAGAAGGCCAGGGAGCCGCGGAACGTCTTAGCCTTTTTGTTGCTCGCCGGTATTCTTTTGTTTATGGGTTTTTTTTTTTTCATTGCACCTATCTACGCGACTTTTTACCGGAATGGCCCAACGAATATGAATCCCTGCAGTGACGAAAGCTTCAAGTCAAGACGCCAACCTGAATTCTCCAATGCCTTTTGAATCAAAAAACAAGTTTTTTTTATTTAAAGCTTTCGTGCCTGCGGTGATTCATATGCTTGGTTCTTTCGGTAAAGTCACCACCGCGTTAGAAGGGAAACAATAAAATAATAAAAAAAATATAAAGCAATAAAATTCTCACGACGTTTCGACTGCAACACAAGCAGTCATCATCAGGTGTGTGAAAACCACCACGTAGAAGGGAAACAATAAAATAATAAAAAATATAAAACAATTAAATTCTCACGACGTTTCGACTGCAACACAAGCAATCATCATCAGGTGTGTGAAAACCACAGCAAGAAAATTTTAGAAGGGAAACAATAAAATAATAAAAATATAAAACAATAAAATTCTCACGACGTTTCGACTGCAATACAAGCAATCATCATCAGGTGTGTGAAAACCACCACGTTAGAAGGGAAACAATAAAATAATAAAAAATATAAAACAATAAAATTCTCACGACGTTTCGACTGCAACACGAGCAATCATCATCAGGTGTGAAAACCACCACGTTAGAAGGGAAACAATAAAATAATAAAAAATATAAAACAATTAAATTCTCACGACGTTTCGACTGCAACACAAGCAGTCATCATCAGGTGTGAAAACCACCACGTTAGAAGGGGAACAATAAAATAATAAAAATATAAAACAATAAAATTCTCACGTTTCGACTGCAACACAAGCAACCATCATCAGGTGTGAAAACCACCACGTTAGAAGGGAAACAATAAAATAATAAAAAAATATAAAACAATAATTTTATTGTAATTTTTATTGTAATTTTTTTTATTGTTTTATATTTTTATTATTTGATCGTTTCCCCTTCTAACGTGGTGGTGACTTTACCGAAAGAACCAAGAATATAAAAATAACACGTTTAGCCCTCCCGACCAAATCGCCGTGGAGGTCCCTCTTTCATGCTCAATCGGAGGCCCCCTTTGTTTCGATGTTTAAATATCCGCTTAGGCTGCGATATTGACGCGTCCAGAGTCCAGCTCAGAGGCACTCGGAGACGGCGTGGGGGCTAACGCGTTCACCACAGCCTTCGCTAATACACGGCGGAAGGGTCTAGCCGCCCTACTCCGGGCTAACCCTCCCCAGCCACCGCGGGGTAGCTAGCCACGAGCCGAACCCTGGCCCCGGGTGTCCTGGTCTCGTCCATCGGCAGGTCTCCTCCCGGCATGACGGCTTCTCGGCTCGATTGGGGGTCCGGTTTATACCCCGACCCCCTTTTGCCCAGGGAGCTCCGTCTGCCCCTTATCCACGACTCCCTTCTCGGGCGTCTTAGAGGGGTCTCGTCTCAGCACCACGCGGACGGCGGCCCCAACCCTTCAGAGGCTGGTCATTGTTCGATCGCGGCATGCGCACGGGGTAGATCTCGTGCCGCTAACAACGTGCCAGGCCACGTGACCTCCACGTGCCGCTAACAACGTGCCAGGCCACGTGGCCTCCACGTGCCGCTAACAACGTGCCAGGCCACGTGACCTCCACGTGCACAATGTGACAGGCCACGTGACCTCCACGTGCCGCTAACAACGTGCCAGGCCACGTGACCTCCACGTGCACAACGTGCCAGGCCACGTGGCCTCCACGTGCCACTAACAACGTGCCAGGCCACGTGACCTCCACGTGCACAATGTGACAGGCCACGTGACCTCCACGTGCACAACGTGCCAGGCCACGTGACCTCCACGTGCCGCTAACAACGTGCCAGGCCACGTGACCTCCACGTGCACCTGGCCTGGCACGAGCGCCGCGGTGAGGCCTCCGTCACCACGCTGCTGATGATACTGATGATGATGATGGCGATGAAACCGTTGCTGATGGCGATGCGGCCGCTAGCTGATGACACTGCTGAAGATGATGATGCCGTTGCTGCTGCTGCTGATGACGATGCTGCTACTGATGATGATGATGATACCGTTGCTGATGATGATGCCGTTGCTGCTGCTGATGATGACGATGCTGCTACTGATGATGATGATACCGTTGCTGATGATGATGCTGCCGCTGCTGATGACACTACTGAAGATGATGATGCCGTTGCTGATGATGATGACGATGCTGCTGCTGATGATGATACCGTTGCTGATGATGATGCTGCCGCTGCTGATGACACTACTGAAGATGATGAAACCGTTGCTGATGATGATGATGATGCTCTTACTGATGATGATGATGTTGATACCGTTGCTGATGATGATGCTGCCGCTGCTGATGACACTACTGAAGATGATGAAACCCTTGCTGATGATGATGATGCTGTTGCTACTGATGATGATCATTGTCGCAGATGATAAATCGAGGGTTCATCTTCAGCTCTTGGACCACGATCCACACTCCGACTACATCAACGCCAACTACATCCCGGTGAGACTCAGGGACACGCCCACTCCCACAACGGGACACGCCCACTCCCACAGGGACACTCCCACTCTCAGTCAAGGGACACGCCCACTCACGCTGGGACACGCCCAGTCTCACTGGGATGCGCCCACCTACACTGGGATACCGCCCACTCAGACACGTGGACACGCCCACTCAGTCAGAAACACGCCCACTTAGTCAGAGACACGCCTACTCACACTGAGAAACGCCCACTCACGCAGGGACATGACCCACACAAACAGGGTCACGTCCATTCACACGGGCACGCCCACTCACAGAGGGACACGCCCACCTACACAGGGACACGCCCACTCTATTTGCTATGCTTGTGTATGGTATGTGTGTGTGTGAATGCTGTGTGTGAATGCTGTGTGTATGATATGTGTGTGCTGTGTGTGTGCTGTGTGTGTGATGTGTGTGCTGTGTGTGTGCTGTGTGTATGCTGTGTGTATGCTGTGTGCTGTGTGTATGATGTGTATGCTGTGTGTGTGCTGTGTGTACGGTATGTGTGTGCTGTGTGTGTGCTGTGTGTATGTTGTGTGTGTATGATGTGTGTGTGTGCATGGTATGTGTGTGCGTGCTGTGTGCATGCTGTGTGTGTGCTGTGTGTATGATGTGTGTATGATGTGTGTATGCTGTGTGCATGCTGTGTGTGTGTGTGCTGTGTGTATGCTGTGTGTGTGCTGTGTGTGATGTGTTTGCTGTGTGTATGCTGTGTGTGTGCTGTGTGTATGATGTGTGTATGCTGTGTGTGATGTGTGTATGCTGTGTGTGTAGTGTGTGTGTGTGCTGTGTGTATGCTGTGTGTGTGTTGTGTGTGTTGTGTGTATGCTGTGTGTGTGCTGTGTGTGTGCTGTGTGTGATGTGTGTATGCTGTGTGTATGATGTGTGTGTGTTGTGTGTGTGCTGTGTGTGTGATGTGTGTATGCTGTGTGTGTGCTGTGTGTGTGCTGTGTGTGATGTGTGTATGCTGTGTGTATGATGTGTGTGTGATGTGTGTGTGGTGTGTGTGTGATGTGTGTGGTGTGTGTGTGATGTGTGTATGCTGTGTGTGTGCTGTCTGTGTGATGTGTGTATGCTGTGTGTGTGCTGTCTGTGTGCTGTGTGATGTGTGTATGCTCTGTGTATGATGTGTGTGTGATGTGTGTGTGGTGTGTGTGTGATGTGTGTATGCTGTGTGTGTGCTGTGTGTGATGTGTGTATGCTGTGTGTGTGCTGTGTGTGTGCTGTGTGTGTAGTATGTGTATGTTGTGTGTATGCTGTGGGTATGATGTGTGTATGATGTGTGTATGATGTGTGTGCTGTGTGTGTGCTGTGTGTGTGTGCTATGTGTGTGTGCTGTGTGTGTGCTGTGTGTATGTGTATGCTGTGTGTATGCTGTGTGTATGCTGTGTGTATGCTGTGGGTATGATGTGTGTGTGTTGTGTGTATGATGTGTGTATGATGTGTGTATGATGTGTGTATGATGTGTGTGTGTGATGTGTGTGTGGTGTGTATGCTGTGTGTATGATGCGTGTATGATGCGTGGATGATGTGTGTATGATGTGTGTATGCTGTGTGTATACTGTGTGTATGCTGTGCGTATGCTGTGTGTGTGGTGTGTGTATGCTGTGTGTATGCTGTGTGTATGATGTGTGTATGCTGTGTGTATGCTGTGCGTATGCTGTGTGTATGATGTGTGTGTGATGTGTGTATGATGTGTGTATGATGTGTGTATGATGCGTGTGCTGTGTGTGTGCTGTGTGTATGCTGTGTGCTGTGTGTATGCTGTGTGTGCCTACTGTGTGTGAGCTGTGTGTGTGCTGTGTGTGTGTCTGTGTGTGTGTTTGTGTCTGTGTGTTTGTTGTGTGTGCTGTGTGTGTGATGTGTGTGTGCTGTGTGTATGATGTGTGTGTGCTGTGTGTGTGCTGTGTGTATGCTGTGCTGCGTGTGTGTGATGTGTGTGTGTGATGTGTGTGTGATGTGTGTGTTGTGTGTGCTGTGTGTGTGCTGTGTGTGTGCTGTGTGTATGATGTGTGTATGCTGTGTGTATGGTGTGTATGATGTGTGTATGATGTGTGTATGCTCTGTGTGCGCTGTGTGTATGAAGTATGTATGATGTGTGTATGCTGTGTGTATGCTGTGCGTATGCTGTGTGTATGCTGTGTATGCTGTGTGCATGCTGTGTGTATGATGTGTGTATGCTGTGTGTGTGGTGTGTATGCTGTGTGTATGCTGTGTGTATGCTGTGTGTATGCTGTGTGTGTGCTGTGTGTATGATGTGTGTGCTGCGTGTGTGCTGTGTGTGCCTGCTGTGTGTATGCTGTGTGTGTCTGTGTGTATGCTGTGTGTGTGTCTGTGTGTGTGTTTTGTGTGCTGTGTGTGTGTTGTGTGTGCTGTGTGTATGATGTGTGTGTGTGCTGTGTGTGCGCTGTGTGTATGCTGTGTGTATGCTGTGTGTATGCTGTGCTGCCTGTGTGCTATGCGCGTCAGGGCATGCTGTCTGAGCGCGACTTCATAGCCGCTCAGGGTCCCATGAGCTCATTGCTCAACGACTTTTGGCGCCTCGTGTGGGAACAGCAGGTCCAGAACATCGTGATGCTCACCCAGTGTGTGGAGGGAGGCCGTGTGAGTCACTCACTCACTCACTGACTCACTCACTCATACACTCACTCACTCACCCACTCACCCAGGTCCAGAACATCGTGATGCTCACACAGTGTGTGGAGGCAGGCCGTGTGAGTCACTCACTCACTCACTGACTCACTCACTCAGCCACTCACTCACTGACTCACTCACTCAGCCACTCACTCACTCACCCACTCACTCACCCACCCACTCACTCACCCACTCACTCACTCACCCACTCACTCACCCACTCACTCACACACTCACTCACTCACTCACCCACTCACTCACCCACTCACTCACTCACACACTCACTCACCCACTCACTCACTCACCCACTCACTCACACACTCACTCACCCACTCACTCACTCACCCACTCACTCACTCACACACTCACTCAGACACTCACTCACTCACCCACTCACTCACTCACCCACCCACTAACTCACACACCCACTCACTCACTCACCCACTCACTCACTGACTCACTCACTCACCCACTCACTCACTCACCCACTCACTCACCCACTCACTCACTCACACACTCACTCACCCACTCACTCACTCACCCACTCACTCACCCACTCACTCACTCACCCACTCACTCACCCACTCACTCACTCACACACTCACTCACTCACCCACTCACTCACCCACTCACTCACTCACACACTCACTCACTCACCCACTCACTCACCCACTCACTCACTCACTCACCCACTCACTCACCCACTCACTCACTCACTCACACACTCACTCACCCACTCACTCACCCACTCACTCACTCACACACTCACTCACCCACTCACTCACCCACTCACTCACTCACCCACTCACACACTCACTCAGACACTCACTCACTCACCCACTCACTCACTCACCCACCCACTTACTCACACACCCACCCACTCACACACCCACCCACTCACTCACCCACTCACTCACCCACTCACTCACTCACCCACTCACTCACTCACCCACTCACTCACACACTCACTCAGACACTCACTCACTCACCCACTCACTCACCCACCCACTAACTCACACACCCACCCACTCACACACCCACCCACTCACTCACCCACTCACTCACACACTCACTCAGCCACTCACTCACCCACACACTCACTCACTCAGCCACTCACTCACTCACCCACTCACTCACCCACTCACTCACTCACCCACCCACTCGCTCACACACTCACCCACTCACTCACACACTCACCCACTCACTCACTCACCCAGGTCCAGAACATCGTGATGCTCACACCGTGTGTGGAGGCAGGCCGTGTGAGTCACTCACTCACTCACTGACTCACTCACTCAGCCACCCACTCACTCACTCACCCACCCACTCACTCATTCACCCACACACTCACACACCCACTCACTCACTCACCCACTCACTCACTCACCCACTCACTCACTCACCCACTCACTCACCCACTCACTCACTCACCCACTCACTCACTCAGCCACTCACTCACTCACCCACTCACTCACTCACCCACCCACTCACTCACTCACCCACCCACTCACTCACTCACCCACTCACTCACACACCCACTCACTCACTCACCCACTCACTCACTCACCCACACTCACTGACTCACTCACTCAGCCACCCACTCACTCACTCACCCACCCACTCACTCATTCACCCACACACTCACTCACTCACTCACCCACTCACTCACTCACCCACTCACTCACCCACTCACTCACTCACCCACTCACTCACTCACCCACTCACTCACTCAGCCACTCACTCACTCACCCACTCACTCACTCACCCACCCACTCACTCACTCACCCACCCACTCACTCACTCACTCACCCACTCACTCACACACCCACTCACTCACTCACCCACTCACTCACTCACCCACTCACTCACTCACCCACCACTCACTCACTCACCCACTCACTCACCCACCCACTCACTCACTCACCCACTCACTCACTCACCCACTCACTCACTCACCCATCACTCACTCAGCCACTCACTCACTCACTCACCCACTCACTCACTCAGCCACTCACTCACTTACTCACCTACTCACTCACTCACCCACTCACTCACTCACCCACGGGGGACCTTTGTGTGTATGTGTGTGTCTATCTGTCTGTGTGTGTGTCTGTGTGTGTTTCTGTGTGTCTGTGTGTGTGTCTGTGTGTGTTTCTGTGTGTATGTCTGTGTGTGTCTGTCTGTGTGTGTTTCTGTGTGTCTGTGTGTATGTCTGTGTATGTCTGTGTGTGTGTCTGTGTGTATGTCTGTGTGTGTGTCTGTGTGTGTGTCTGTGTGTGTGTATGTCTGTGTGTGTGTGTCTGTGTGTCTGTGTGTGTCTGTGTGTATGTCTGTGTGTGTCTGTGTGTGTGTCTGTGTGTGTCTATCTGTCTGTGTGTGTGTGTCTGTGTGTGTGTGTAGAATAAGTGCGACCAGTATTGGCCCTCAGCTGGCGTGCCGTGCCTGCACGGTCACGTGATGGTGGAGCTACGCGGGGAGGAGCGACTCGCAGACTGGACCGTGCGGACCCTCCTCGTCTCCAACGTACACACACACAGACACATACACACATACACACACATATACATACACACATACACACAGACACACACACACATACACATACATACACACACATACACACATACAACACAACACAACAACCGCCATTCGCCACTAAGTGGCGGTGACGTCACCACGACGCTTGTGCCAGGCCATGTGCACCGTGAGGCCACGTGAAGTGTCGAACGCCCGCTGGCAGGAGGTCACTGGGCAGACCCAGGTGCCACGGGTCGACTGACTGAGATGACTGGCTGATGCACCACCTGTGCCCCCTACTGTGCCAACCTGCTGTGCTTTAGCCACCCGGCGTTCCGCTCGTTGTTGTGAGCGTCGCTCCTCCGCCCTCCGTTGTTGTTGGAGGGCGACTGCCTCCAACTGCCCAGTAGCATCCTTCACGAGCCTCCTCCACAGAGGCCGTTCTTGACACCGCTGGTACCAGTCATCGGCAAGTCCACTCAGCTCCACGTCCTCCTGTACCACATCACTCCATCTCTTCTCTAGCCCGTGCCGCGCCCGCTTAGCCCCCTCAATCCGGCCAAACAAAAGCTGTTTCGGCATGCGGTGGTTGGGTATGCGGGCTACATGACCCAGCCATCGCAGCCTTGCCTGCCGGAGGAGCTCACCGATGGGACCCTGCCCAGATCTTTCAAGGATTTGTGAGCTCCTCACACAATCCAGTCTGGTTAAACCCAGGATGGATCGTAGGCAGGCCAGCCTAAATGTTTCTAACCGGCGAAGATGTTCCACCAGGGGGGTCCACGTTTCGCAAGCGTAGAGAAGGGAGGGAATGACCGTGGCCGAGAAGACCTGAAGCTTAGTGCGGAGCGACAGACCAGGTAGCTTCCACACAGCGTTACGCAACCGATGAAAAGATATTGCCGCTCGACTGATTCGGAGTGAGACCTCTGCTGTTAAACTGGAGCCAGTCATAAGCACACTGCCCAGGTATGGGAAACTCTCCACTCTCTCCACAACTGCCCCATCACCGATTGGGAGTTGTGGGGGTGGATGTGTCCGATGGTACAAAATACCCAGGCAGGTGCTTAGTTTTGGTGGGGCTGATGGTAAGGCCCCACCTCTTAGTGGCACGCTCCAGTCTCAGCAGCAGCGTCTCCAACTCCTCCTCTGACTGAGCAGCTATTACCAAGTCATCAGCATACATAACGTGGTTGAGCAATAAGGAGCCATCCCTTGACCGCACCCGGGCATCGATTAGCCTCCCATTATATCTGTACCATATGGAGATTCCCCCGGTACAGCTATTGAAGGCTTCACGAACTACGTGGTCAAAATAGATGTTAAATAATGTGGGAGCCAGAGGACATCCCTGTCGCACCCCAAGGTGTACAGGGAATGGCTCTGACTCCCGGCCACGTAGTTTTACCCGGGCCCGCTCACCATCATGAAGGTCCTTAATGATCGTGAGCAGAGGGTCAGGTACTCCAAAAGCACGAAGAACGACCCAGAGCCCAGGCCTACTGATGGTATCATAGGCCTTGACCAGGTCAATAAGCAGAGATGTAGGTCTTGTTGGAATTCCCTACACCTCTGCTGTAGCAGACGGACAGAAAATATGGCATCTGTGCAGGACCGCCCTTTCCTGAAACCGCATTGGGGCTCCGCAAGCCTCTCCTCAGCGTGCCTGGCAAGGCGATGCTGAATAATCCTTGCCAGGACCTTTCCCGGCACACTGAGGAGTGAAATGTCCCTGTAGTTGTTACAGTCTGTGCGGTCCCCCTTCTTAAAAAGGGGGACCACCAGGGCATCCTTCCAATCCTGCGGAACCCGTCCAGTGGTCCAGACAGTTGTTATGATGTCATATAGGGCAGTCTGTGCACAAACGCCACCCTCCCTCAGCATTTCGCTTGGGAGATCATCTCTGCCCGCTGCCTTTCCTGTTCTCAGACTCCGGATCGCCTTCAATACTTCCTCAGCAGATGGCACCTCTGCCAGCCACTCACAGGGGGTGACTTCATCCAATATTTGAGGCACCGCAGCCTCAGCAGGGTCATCCTCACTTTGTGCCACGATGTTTTCCTGGCTGAGGGATTTTCCCTCCCCCAGGACCTCACAGAAATGCTCAGCAAATCTGCGAACCTGTTCCTGGGGGTCGGAAATTGGATCACCGTTTTTTCCCCTAATGATGGTAATAGGTGTGGCGCTGCAGGTTACTTTTTTGATGGAGTTAAATAGAGATTTGTGATCACGGGCCACTGAGGCAGACTCCATCTCCTCAGCAACCCGCGACCACCACCCATCCTTGCAGCGCCTCACGGCTCTCCGAACCTCCGAGCGAAGGCTGCGGTAAGCCTCCTCATTCTCTGACGTGGGATTCTGTAGCCGATGACAGTGGGCCTGTCGCTTTTTCTCAACCATCCTGAACAACTCCTCTGTCATCCAGGGTGTCTGGGGAGGTCTGGACCGCGTACCCAAAGCAGCCATTGCAGCTGCATGAGTCACAGTCCTAAACCTCGCCCATTTACCCTCGACATCAGGAGGAGTCGGGGACGATACCAATCCCAGCCGCAAGCGATGATGAAATTCTCGCTTGCAACTTTCATCAGATAACTGAGACCAGGCCACTTTAGGTTGGAATGGGGTCCTGGGTGTACACCCACCACCGGAGTGGAAGAATAGTAGGCGCATCTTACAGATGACTAGTCGATGGTCAGAGGGCAGATCAGCTCCACGGTAGGTCCTGGTGTCAAGGACATGGGCTCGCATTCGCTGGTCCGTCACTATGTAGTCCAGCAGATGTTCTTGCTTGGACCCGGCGTGCATCCATGATGTTGTGTGGATGCGCCGATGCCGGAACAGCGTGTTGGTAATTACAAGCCCATGGGCTGCACAAAAATCTAGCAGCCTCCTACCATTGTTATTGAGCTGATCTGGCCCATGCCCTCCAATCACTCCAGACCAGGTGCCAGTATCATGACCAACTCGGGCATTGAAGTCACCCAACATGATGACTCTATCCCGAGGGGCCGCTTTAGCCAGCACCTGTGACAGGAGGTCATAGAAGGCATCTGACTCATCGGCTTTGCCTGCATCCCTCCACGGATGTTCGTCTTCGGTGGGGGCATAAGTAACCACGACCACCATTCCTCGCCTTCCGGTTGATAGGAAGGCGAGCCCAAAGTAGCCTGGGGCTTACAGCTTCCCACACCTCACCGCCACGCTCCCCACGCCCCCTTCATTATTTTGTTCAAAAGAAGACCCACACCCTGTTGTTTGGCAGTCCTGCTTGCCCCGAGTAGAGGACTGGTCCACCCCTCATGGTGGCAGGAGCCAGAGCCGGTCCACCGGACCTCCTGAATGCTCCCATAGATCCAGGCGGTACCGGTCCAGCTCCCGAACAGAGGAGTGGCAGCCTCTCCTCTGCAGTGAGCGTTCGAACATTCCACGTGGCCAACCGTAGTGGCTTTTCGTTGTTTCTGGAGTAGCCCCGAGGGTAGGTATTCAATCTCCTGGCTCCGCCAATTGGGGTTTGGCCAGGAGACGTCATAGACGCCTGGCCCCCCGGGGCCTCCGGCACAAGCTTAGTTGTGTACAATATTTCAGTTTAATTCGTAGTTTCGTGGTAATTAATTGAAGGTGGAGGGGTTACCAGCCCCTCGCACCCGTCCAGAGCCCCCGTTTAGCCCCTGTGGTGGACACATATGCCATGAGGGGAGGAGCCAATCAAAATTGGATCTCCCCCCACAGCGTTGTCCACGACAGAGTTGCCCGTCCGGCACCGCGAGGAGGTAGGGGGTTGTTTTGCCGGACATACACACATACATACGCACACACATATACATACACACATACACACACATATACATACACACATACACACACAGACACACACACATATACACACACACACATATACACACAGACACACAATACACACACACACACATACACACACAGTCACACACACAGACAGACACATACGTACGAACTCTCTCCTCACTCACTCTCTCACTCACTCAACTCACTCACTCCTCACTCACTCTCTCACTCCCTCACTCACTCCTCACTCACTCACCCACTCACACCATCACTCACCCACCCACTCACACCATCACTCACTCACCCACTCACCCACTCACCCACTCTCTCACTCACTGACTCACCCACTCACTCACTCTCTCACTCACTCACTCACTCCTCACTCTCTCACTCCTCACTCACTCACTCCTCACTCACTCCTCACTCACTCACCCACTCACCCACTCTCTCACTCACTCACCCACTCACTCACTCTCTCACTCACTCACTCTCTCACCCACTCACTCTCTCATCACTCACTCCTCACTCACTCTCTCACCCACTCACTCACTCCTCACTCACTCCTCACTCACTCACCCACTCACCCACTCTCTCACTCACTCTCTCACTCACTCACTCCTCACTCACTCCTCACTCTCTCACCCACTCTCTCACTCACTGACTCCTCTCTCACCCACTCACTCCTCACTCACTCTCTCACTCCCTCACTCCCTCACTCACTCCTCACTCACCCACTCACACCATCACTCACTCCTCACTCACCCACTCTCTCACTCTTTCACTCACCCACTCACTCTCTCACTCTCTAACTCACTCACTCACCACTCACTCACTCTCTCACTCACTCACCCACTCACACCATCACTCACTCACTCACCCACTCACCCACTCTCTCACTCACTCACTCTCTCACCCACTCACACCATCACTCACTCACTCCTCACTCACCCACTCTCTCACTCACTCTCTCACTCACTCACCCACTCACTCTCTCACTCACTCTCTCACTCTCTCACTCACTCTCTCACTCACTCACTCTCTCACTCTCTAACTCTCTAACTCACTCATTCACTCACTCACTCTTTCTCTCCCTCCCTCCCTCAACCACAACCACAACAACAACCACCACCACCAGCAGCAGCAGCAGCAGAACACGACGGACCAGGAGGCCGAGTGCGAGCGCTCCGTCCGCCACTTTCACTTCACGGCGTGGCCTGACCACGGCGCGCCGGCCGGCACCGCCTCCATCGTCGCCTTCGCCCGCCTCGTGCGGGCCAACGCGAGGCTCTCCGCTCGCTCCACTCCCACGCTGGTGCACTGCAGGTGTGAGACTGAGTGAGTGTGAGTGTGTGGGGCGGGGGCGGGGCCTGAGCGCGTGAAGTCCGCCCCCTTTTTACCCCTGGGGCCACGCCCCCTTTTTAGCAACTGGGGCCACGCCCCCTTCCTGCTCCTCCTCCTCCTCTGCTCGCTCCACTCCCACGCTGGTGCACTGCAGGTGGGAGACTGAGTGTGTGTGTGGGGCGGGGCCTGAGCGTGCGAGGTCCGCCCCCTTTTTTACCCCTGCAGCCACGCCCCCTTCCTGCTCCTGCTCCTCCTCCTCCTCCGCTCGCTCCACTCCCACGCTGGTGCACTGCAGGTGTGAGACTGAGTGTGTGTGAGTGTGTGGGGCGGGGGCGGGGCCTGAGCGCGTGAAGTCCGCCCCCTTTTTTACCCCTGGGGCCACGCCCCCTTTTTTACCCCTGGGGCCACGCCCCCCTTCCTGCTCCTCCTCCTCCGTTCGCTCCACTCCCACGCTGGTGCACTGCAGGTGAGAGACTGAGTGTGGGGGGGCGGGGCCTGAGCACGTGAAGTCCGCCCCCTTTTTACCCCTGGGGCAACGCCCCCTTTTTTTACCCCTGGGGCCACGCCCCCTTCCTGCTCCTCATCCTCATCCTCCCGCGCCACTCCCACGCTGGTGGACTGCAGGTGTGAGACTGAGTGTGTGTGTGTGGGCGGGGCCTGAGCACGTGAAGTCCGCCCCTTTTTTACCCCTGGGGCCACGCCCCCTTTTTTACCCCTGGGGCCACGCCCCCTTCCTGCTCCTCCACTCGCTCCACTCCCACGCTGGTGCACTGCAGGTGTGAGACTGAGTGAGTGTGAGTGTGTGGGGCGGGGGCGGGGCCTGAGCACGCGAAGTCCGCCCCTTTTTTACCCCTGGGGCCACGCCCCCTTCCTGCTCCTCCTCATCCTCCGCTCGCTCCACTCCCACGCTGGTGCACTGCAGGTGTGAGACTGAGTGTGTGTGGGGGGGGGGCGGGGCCTGAGCGCGCGAAGTCCGCCCCCTTTTTACCCCTGTGGCCACGCCCCCTTTTTTACCCCTGGGGCCACGCCCCCTTCCTGCTCCTCCTCCTCATCCTCCGCTCGCTCCACTCCCACGCTGGTGCACTGCAGGTGTGAGACTGAGTGAGTGTGTGTGTGTGGGGGCGGGGCCTGAGCGTGCGAAGTCCGCCCCCTTTTTTACCCCTGGGGCCACGCCCCCTTTTTACCCCCTGGGGCCACGCCCCCTTTTTTACCTCTGGGGCCACGCCCCCTTTCTGCTCCTCCTCCTCCTGCTCCTCCTCCGCGTCACCCCTCCGCGTCACCCCTCCGCGTCAGCGGAGACACGAGGGAATTCTTCGCGGGCTAAAAACTTGATTTGGAGCTTCCGCGACTGCAGGAATTGCCCTTCGTTTTTTTTTTTTAGTTTTTCTCCCCGGTAAAGTCGCGTAGAAATAAGAAGTAATGATGATAATAATAATGAAATTAAACTGCATAATTAGCGTACGACGTTTCGATTGCAACCTCAGGCAATCGTCATCGGGCACAGGTAGAGCTAACTTTTAGAGAGACAGAGAGAGAGACAGGGGACACACACAGAACCGGCTCTTGCCGTTGGATAAAGCACCGTCGCACTCGACACAGCAGCACGGATGCTCGCCGCCTCGATCCTTTGCCCGAGGGCGCTGAACGCTGTTTGGGTCCTGCCCTCTCGGCTAATCCCATGTCTCCCTCTCACTCGTCGGCCCGGAGCGGGGGTTCAGCCAACACCTCTCCGAGGAGAGAGAGAGAGCGACAGAGAGAGACAGAGAGATAGATAGAGAGAGAGAGACAGAGAGAGAGATAGAGAGGGAGAGAGACAGAGAGAGAGACAGAGAGAGACAAAGACAGAGAGAGAGACAGAGAGAGAGACAGAGAGAGAGACAGAGAGAGAAAAAGACAGAGAGAGAGACAGAGACAGAGAGAGAGACACACAGAGAGAGACAGAGACAGAGAGAGACAGAGACAGAGAAAGAGAGAGAGAGAGAGACAGAGACTGAGAGAGAGACAGAGAGAGACAGAGACAGAGATAGAGAGGCAGAGAGAGAGCGAGACAGAGAGAGAGACAGAGACAGAGAGAGACAGAGAGAGAGACAGAGAGAGAGACAGAGAGAGACAGAGACAGAGAGAGAGACAGAGACAGAGAGAGACAGAGAGAGAGAGACAGAGAGAGACAGAGAGAGAGACAGAGAGAGAGACAGAGAGAGAGAGACAGAGAGAGAGAGACAGAGAGAGAGAGACAGAGAGAGATATAGAGAGAGACAGAGAGAGAGAGACAGAGACAGAGAGAGACAGAGAGAGACAGAGAGAGAGACAGAGAGAGAGACAGAGAGAGAGACAGAGAGAGAGACAGAGAGAGAGACAGAGAGAGAGAGAGAGAGAGAGAGAGACAGAGAGAGAGAGACAGAGAGAGAGAGACAGAGAGAGACAGAGAGAGACAGAAAGAGAGAGAGACAGAGAGAGAGAGAGAGACAGAGAGAGACAGAGAGACAGAGAGACCCTCTTCCATCTTGATGTGAAGCTTCTCCTGGCCGCGGGTAACCCACGCCCCCTTTGATTCTCTCGGCGAAGTCATCGCGTAGGTAGGTACGTAGAGAAATAAACAGGTCACGGCGTTCCGAGCGCTACGCAAGCGATCGTCATCAGGCGGGACAACCACGGCAAGAAAAACAACAGCTGATGTAGACCAGGGGATCTGCCGTAGCACGAGGTTATATACAGGGAGGGGGAAAAACAAGTACGGCAAGAAAAACAACAGCTGATGTAGACCAGGGGATCTGCCGTGGCACGAGGTTATATACAGGGAGGGGAAAAAACAAGTATTTGATCCCCTGCCGATTTTGTACGTTTGATCCACTGACGAAGAAATGGTCAGTGTAGAATTCTAACGGTAGGTTTGTTTGAACAGTGAGAGGAGGAATAACAACAACAGGAAAATCCAGAAAAACGCACGTCAAAAATGTTATAAATTAAGTTGCATTTTAATGAGGGAAATAAGTATTTGACCCCCTCTGAATCAGAAAGATTTCTGGCTCCCAGGTGTCTTTTATACAGGTAACGAGCTGAGATTAGGAGCACCTTAAAGGGAGTGCTCCTAATCTCAGCTTGTTACCTGTATAAAAGACACCTGTCCACAGAAGCAATCAATCAATCAATCAGATCCCAAACTCTCCACCATGGCCAAGACCAAAGAGCTCTCAAAGGATGTCAGGGACAAGATTGTAGACCTATACAAGGCTGGAATGGGCTACAAGACCATTGCCAAGCAGCTTGGTGAGAAGGTGACAACAGTTGGTGCGATTATTCACAAATGGAAGAAACACAAAAGAACTGTCAATCTCCCTCGGCCTGGGGCTCCATGCAAGATCTCACCTTGTGGAGCTGCAATGATCATGAGAACGGTGAGGAATCAGCCCAGAACTACACGGGAGGATCTTGTCAATGATCTCAAGGCAGCTGGACCATAGTCACCAAGAAACAATTGGTAACACACTACGCCGTGAAGGACTGAAATCCTGCAGCGCCCGCAAGGTCCCCCTGCTCAAGAAAGCACATATACATGCCCGTCTGAAGTTTGCCAATGAACATCTGAATGATTCAGAGGACAACTGGGTGAAAGTGTTGTGGTCAGAGGAGACCAAAATGGAGCTCTTTGGCATCAACTCAACTCGCGGTGTTTGGAGGAGGAGGAATGCTGCCTATGACCCCAAGAACACCACCCCCACCGTCAAACATGGAGGTGGAAACATTATGCTTTGGGGGTGTTTTTCTGCTAAGGGGACTGGACAACTTCACCGCATTAAAGGGACGATGGACGGGGCCATGTACCATCAAATCTTGGGTGAGAACCTCCTTCCCTCAGCTAGGGCATTGAAAATGGGTCGTGGATGGGTTTTCCAGCATGACAATGACCCAAAAACACACGGCCAAGGCAACAAAGGAGTGGCTCAAGAAGAAGCACATTAAGGTCCTGGAGTGGCTTAGCCAGTCTCCAGACCTTAATCCCATAGAAAATCTGTGGAGGGAGCTGAAGGTTCGAGTTGCCAAACGTCAGCCTCGAAACCTTAACGACTTGGAGAAGATCTGCAAAGAGGAGTGGGACAAAATCCCTCCTGAGATGTGTGCAAACCTGGTGGCCAACTACAAGAAACGTCTGACCTCTGTGATTGCCAACAAAGGTTTTGCCACCAAGTACTAAGTCATGTTTTTGCAGAGGGGGTCAAATACTTATTTCCCTCATTAAAACGCAAATCAATTTATAACATTTTTGAACTGCGTTTTTTCTGGATTTTTGTTGTTATTCTGTCTCTCACTGTTCAAACAAACCTACCATTAAAATTCTAGACTTATCATTACTTTGTCAGTCGGCACACAACGTACAAAATCAGCAGTGGGTCAAATACGTGTTTCCCTCATTAAAACGCAAATCAATTTATAACATTTTTGAACATGCGTTTTTCTGGATTTGTGTTGTTGTTATTCTGTCTCTCACTGTTCAAACAAACCTACCATTAAAATTATAGACTCATCATTACTTTGTCAGTGGGCATACAACGTACAAAATCAGCAGAGGGTCAAATACGTATTTCCCTCATTAAAACGCAAATCAATTTATAACGTTTTTGAACATGCGTTTTTCTGGATTTGTGTTGTTGTTATTATTCTGTCTCTCACTGTTCAAACAAACCTACCATTAAAATTCTAGACTTATCATTACTTTGTCAGTGGGCACACGTACAAAATCAGCAGAGGGTCAAATACGTATTTCCCTCATTAAAACGCAAATCAATTTATAACGTTTTTGAACATGCGTTTTTCTGGATTTGTGTTGTTGTTATTATTCTGTCTCTCACTGTTCAAACAAACCTACCATTAAAATTCTAGACTTATCATTACTTTGTCAGTGGGCACACGTACAAAATCAGCAGGGGTCAAATACGTATTTCCCTCATTAAAACGCAAATCAATTTATAACGTTTTTGAACATGCGTTTTTTCTGGATTTGTGTTGTTGTTATTATTCTGTCTCTCACTGTTCAAACAAACCTACCATTAAAATTCTAGACTTATCATTACTTTGTCAGTGGGCACACGTACAAAATCAGCAGAGGGTCAAATACGTATTTCCCTCATTAAAACGCAAATCAATTTATAACGTTTTTGAACATGCGTTTTTCTGGATTTGTGTTGTTGTTATTATTCTGTCTCTCACTGTTCAAACAAACCTACCATTAAAATTCTAGACTCATCATTACTTTGTCAGTGGGCACACAACGTACAAAATCAGCAGTGGGATCAAATAAGTGTTCATCCCTCGCTGTAAAAACGAAAAGTCAACTCAGCACTTCATGGCATACTGCAAGCAACTTGACACGGCTCCACACCCTTGGCTTCCTCCACCTTTTTTTAATTATTATTATTGTTGTTGTTGACGTTGACGTTGTTGTTGTTGTTGTGGCACAGCGCGGGAGTGGGCCGTACGGGCACCTTCATAGCCCTCGACACGGCCCTGCAGCAGCTGGACTCCAACTCGGACGTTGACATCTACGGCTGCACCCACACCATGCGCTCCAACCGCATGCTCATGGTGCAGACAGAGGTGACGAGCGAACACGTGGTCGCGGGAGGCCCCGCCCACTGGCCGAGTTGGCCCCGCCCCACTACTCGAGTAGCCCCCGCCCACTACTTAAAGAGACTCGTCCCCGCCCACGAGTCGAGTAGCCCAGCACCACCCCCCCCCTCCCCCGCTGCTTAAGAAACCCCGCCCACTACTCGAGCAGACCCGCCCACTACTCGAGTAGACCCCCCCCCCCCCCGGTGCTTAAGAGCCCCGCCCCACTACTCAAGTAGCCCCGCCCACTACTTAAGAGACTCGTCCGCTACTTAAGAGCCCCGCCCACTACTCGAGTAGCCCCGCCCCACTGCTTAAGAAACCCCGCCCCCTACTTAAGAGACTCGTCCGCTACTTAAGAGCCCCGCCCACTACTCGAGTAGCCCCGCCCCACTGCTTAAGAAACCCCGCCCACTACTTAAGAAACCCCGTCCGCTACTTAAGAGCTCCGCCCACGAGTCGAGTAGCCCTGCCCCCCACTGCTTAAGAGCCCCGCCCACTACTCGAGTAGCCCCGCCCCACTGCTTAAGAGACCCCGCCCACCGACTCGAGTAGCCCCGCCCACCGTTTGACACGAGGTTAAACAGACATCTGTATCTGGTGTGGACCAATCAGTTTCGAGGACAATGCATCTCCTATCAGAGTATGTTTTTTGTTTGAATTCTGACCACAATAATTGTGGTTAATGCAGACGCGATTCCTTGTAAAAGGTTTCAGTTTGGTATTTCAGCATCTTAACACGGCTGTTTTGTTGCCAGAAAAAATGGGGAAAAACTTATTATCATTGTAAATGTTGTGGCTTTGATCGCCAACACACCGGTGGGAGCTGTACGAGTATACTACACTACACTATACACTACACTATACACTACACTATACACTACACTATACACTACACTATACACTACACTATACACTACACTATACACTACACTATACACTACTACACTATAAATACTACACTATACACTACAACACTACTACACTATACACTACTACACTATACACTACAACACTACTACACTATACACTACTACACTATACATTACAACACTACTACACTATACACTACTACACTATACACTACAATATACACTACAACACTACTACACTATACACTACTACACTATACACTACAACACTACACTATACACTACACTATACACTACAACACTACTACACTACACTATACACTACTACACTACAACACTATACACTACAATATACACTACAACACTACTACACTATACACTACTACACTATACACTACAACACTACACTATACACTACACTACACTATACACTACAACACTACTACACTATACACTACAACACTACTACACTATACACTACTACACTATACACTACAACACTACTACACTATACGCTACTACACTATACACTACTACACTATACACTACAACACTACTACACTATACACTACTACACTATACACTACAACACTACTACACTATACACTACTACACTATACACTACAACACTACTACACTATACACTACTACACTATACACTACTACACTACACACTACTACACTATACACTACAATATACACTACAACACTACTACACTATACACTACTACACTATACGCTACAACACTACACTATACACTACACTACACTATACACTACAACACTACTACACTATACACTACAACACTACTACACTATACACTACTACACTATACACTACAACACTACTACACTATACGCTACTACACTATACACTACTACACTATAACACTACTACACTATACACTACTACACTATACACTACAACACTACTACACTATACACTACTACACTATACACTACTACACTATACACTACAACATTACTACACTATACACTACTACACTATACACTACAACACTACTACACTATACACTACTACACTATACACTACAACACTACTACACTATACACTACTACACTACAACACTACTACACTATACACTACTACACTATACACTACAACACTACTACACTATACACTACTACACTATACACTACTACACTACACACTACTACACTATACACTACAATATACACTACTACACTATACACTACTACACTATACACTACAACACTACACTATACACTACACTACACTATACACTACAACACTACTACACTATACACTACAACACTACTACACTATACACTACTACACTATACACTACAACACTACTACACTATACGCTACTACACTATACACTACTACACTATAACACTACTACACTATACACTACTACACTATACACTACAACACTACTACACTATACACTACTACACTATACACTACTACACTATACACTACAACACTACTACACTATACACTACTACACTATACACTACAACACTACTACACTATACACTACTACACTATACACTACAACACTACTACACTATACACTACACTATACACTACAACACTACTACACTACAACACTATTACACTATACACTACTACACTATATACTACACTACACTATACACTACAATACTACTACATTAGACACTATTACACTATACACTACTACACTATACACTACAACACTATTACACTATACACTATTGCACTACTACACTATACACTACGACACTATACACTACTACACTAAACACTACTACATTATACACTACTACACTATACACTACTACACTATGCACTACAACACTACTACACTACTACACTATGCATTACAACACTACTACACTATACACTACTACACTACACTATACACTACTACACTATACACTACTACACTATACACTACTACACTATACACTACTACACTATACACTACAACACTACTACACTATACACTACTACACTACACTATACACTACAACACTACTACACTATACACTACTACACTAGACACTACTACACTATACACTACTACACTATACACTACAACACTATACACTACACTACTACACTATTGCACTATACACTACACTACTACACTTTACACTACACTACTACACTATACACTACTACACTATACACTACTACACTATACACTACACTATACACTACACTACTACACTATACACTACACTATACATTACAACACTACTATACTATACACCACTACTCTATACACTACACTATACACTACTACACTATACACTGCACTATACACTACACTATACACTACACTACACACAACTACACACTACACTGTACACTACTATACACTACTACTATACACTACACTATACATCATTGCACACTACACTATACACTACACTATACAGCACTACACTATACACTACACTATACACTACACTATACACTACTATACACTACTATACACTACACTATACACTACACGGTACACTCCACTGCACACCACACTACACTGTACACTACACTATACACTACACTATACACTACACTATACACGACACTATACACTACTATACACTACACTATACACTACACTATACACTATACTATACTATACACTACTACACACTACACTATACACTACACTATACACTACACTGTACACTACACTACACACTACACTACACTATACACTACACTATACACTACACACCACTATACACTACACTATACACTACTATACACTACACTATACACTACAATATACACTACACACCACTATACACTCCACTATACACTACACTATACACTACTGTACACTACACTATACACTATACTATACTATACACTACTACACACTACACTATACACTACACTATACACTACTATACAGTACACTATACACTACACTATACACTACTAAACACTACACTATACACTACACTATACACTACTAAACACTACACTATACACTACACTACACTATACACTACTACACACTACACTATACACTACACTATACACTACACTATACACTACACTATACACTATACTATACTATACACACTACACTATACACCACACTATACACTACACACCACTATACACTACACAATACACTACTATACACTACACTATACACTACTATACACTACACTGTACACTACTATACACTACACACTACTATACACTACACTATACGCTACCCTATACACTACACTATACACTACTACCCTACACTACTACACTACACACTACACTATAGACTACTACACTACACTATACACTACACTATACACTACTACACTACACACTACTACACTATACACTACTACACTATACACTACTATACACTACACTGTACACTACACTATACACTACTACACTATACACTACTATACACTACACACTAATACACTACACTACTACACTATGCACTACTACACTATACACTACTACACTGTACACTATGCACTACTACACTATACACTACTACACTATACACTACACTATACACTACACTACACACTACTACACTATACACTACACTATACACTACTACACTATACACTACTACACTACACACTACACTATACTCTACTACACTACACTACTACACTATACACTACACTATACACTACACTACACACTACTACACTACACACTACTACACTGTACACTTGTCCTGTGTGCCCACCACCACCGCCGTCGCCACTAGGCCCAGTACGTGTTCGTCCACCAGTGTGTGAGCGACCTGCTCCCCGCCGCCCCTGGCGACGGCTTTGACCCCACGGCCGGCGTCTACGAGAACGTCCATGCAGCAGGAGCAGCAGGAGCAGCAGGAGCAGGAGCAGCAGGAGCAGCCGCCGGGGGCGGCCGGAGCTGACGTCTCCAGCTCCTCGCTCTCCACCGCTGGATACAATCTTCGACGGCGTCACGATGGGCTAGCGGAGGCTGTCGCCGTACCCGTCAACGCCTCATCAGTGCCATACCTTGTAACAACACCCCCTATGTGTCCTGACTTGTGGGCCACCCCTGTATGACGTCACCCCCTATGTGTCCTGACTTGTGGGCCACCCTGTTTGACGTCACCCCCTATGTGTCCTGACTTCTGAGCCACCCTGTATGACGTCACCCCCTATGTGTCCTGACTTGTGGGCCACCCTGTATGACGTCACCCCCTATGTGTCCTGACTTGTGGGCCACCCTGTATGACGTCACCCCCTATGTGTCCTGACTTGTGGGCCACCCTGTATGACGTCACCCCCTATGTGTCCTGACTTGTGGGCCACCCTGTATGACGTCACCCCCTATGTGTCCTGACTTGTGGGCCACCCTGTATGACGTCACCCCCTATGTGTCCTGACTTCTGGGCCACCCTGTATGACGACACCCCCTATGTGTCCTGACTTGTGGGCCACCCTGTATGACGTCACCCCCTATGTGTCCTGACTTGTGGGCCACCCTGTTTGACGTCACCCCCTATGTGTCCTGACTTCTGAGCCACCCTGTATGACGTCACCCCCTATGTGTCCTGACTTCTGGGCCACCCTGTATGACGTCACCCCTATGTGTCCTGATTTGTGGGCCACCCTGTATGACGTCACCCCCTATGTGTCCTGACTTCTGGGCCACCCTGTATGACGTCACCCCTATGTGTCCTGATTTGTGGGCCACCCTGTATGACGTCACCCCCTATGTGTCCTGACTTCTGGGCCACCCTGTATGACGTCACCCCTATGTGTCCTGATTTGTGGGCCACCCTGTATGACGTCACCCCCTATGTGTCCTGACTTCTGGGCCACCCTGTATGACGTCACCCCTATGTGTCCTGATTTGTGGGCCACCCTGTATGACGTCACCCCCTATGTGTCCTGACTTGTGGGCCACCCTGTATGACGTCACCCCTATGTGTCCTGTCTTCTGGGCCACCCTGTATGACGTCACCCCTATGTGTCCTGTCTTCTGGGCCACCCTGTATGACGTCACCCCTATGTGTCCTGACTTCTGGGCCACCCTGTATGACGTCACCCGCTATGTGTCCTGACTTCTGGGCCACCCTGTATGACGTCACCCCCTATGTGTCCTGACTTCTGGGCCACCCTGTATGACGTCACCCCTATGTGTCCTGACTTCTGGGCCACCCTGTATGACGTCACCCCCTATGTGTCCTGACTTCTGGGCCACCCCCTATAACAACACCCCCTATGTGTCCTGACTTGTGGGCCACCCCTGTATGACGTCACCCCCTATGTGTCCTGACTTCTGGGCCACCCTGTATGACGTCACCCCCTATGTGTCCTGACTTCTGGGCTACCCCCTATAACAACACCCCCTATGTGTCCTGACTTGTGGGCCACCCTGTATGACGTCACCCCCTATGTGTCCTGATTTGTGGGCCACCCTGTATGACGTCACCCCCTATGTGTCCTGACTTCTGGGCCACCCTGTATGACGTCACCCCCTATGTGTCCTGACTTCTGGGCCACCCTGTATGACGACACCCCCTATGTGTCCTGACTTCTGGGCCACCCTGTATGACGACACCCCCTATGTGTCCTGACTTCTGGGCCACCCTGTATGACGTCACCCCCTATGTGTCCTGACTTCTGGGCCACCCCGTATGACGTCACCCCCTATGTGTCCTGACTTGTGGGTCACCCTGTATGAAGTCACCCCCTATGTGTCCTGACTTCTGGGCCACCCTGTATGACGTCACCCCCTATGTGTCCTGACTTCTGGGCCACCCTGTATGACGTCACCCCCTATGTGTCCTGACTTCTGGGCCACCCTGTATGACGTCACCCCCTATGTGTCCTGACTTCTGGGCCACCCTGTATATGTAAATGTATTTTGTGATTTTTTTCGTGCCCTTGGAAGCGACATTTAAGGTTGCAATAAAGCCGGTTACTAAAAGTATCTCACCGCTGTGCCAGGCTAGGTGCACGTGGAGGTCACGTGACAGACCCAGCAGGTGCCACGGGTTGACTGCTGTGCCAGGCTAGGTGCACGTGGAGGTCACGTGACAGACCCAGCAGGTGCCACGGGTTGACTGCTGTGCCAGGCTAGGTGCACGTGGAGGTCATGAAGGTTTATGGACGCCCCCATAGTAAAATATTTAACAAAAACGCTTTAATGAAATGTACCGTGCTATATTAATAACAATATTCATAATAAAGGTTTTTTGGGTTAGATCGCGTTTATTTATAAATGTGTCGTAACCCTCCACCACCCGACACGGCCAATCAGCAAAAAAAAAGTGTCACGTTGACAAAAGACAAATAATTCACTACTTCGTGACACTTTTTTTGCTGATTGGCCGTGTCGGGTGGTGGAGGGTTACGACACATTTATAAATAAACGCGATCTAACCCAAAAAACCTTTATTATGAATAATATTGGTCGCGAAAGCCTACGTGTTAATAATAACAATAACAACAATAACAACAACAGGGGTTTTCCCCACTTTTTTCTGCCAACGAAACTGAAACCTTTTTTTAAATTTTTTTCCACAAGGATTCACGTTGCCGCTTTAACCGCAATCTCCTGCAGGCGAAATGCAAACTTAAAAAAAAACAACACAGACTATGATACCGTATTATTATTATTAATTTGGTACTGGCAACAAGGAGGTCTAATGAGATGTATTCTAGATTTGTTTTTTTGAAGCTTTCGTGACTGCAACGATCCGTGCTCTTTGGTCCTGTTCGGTAAAGTCACCACGTAGGTAAAAACATTTTGAAGCCAATTCCTCTGTCGAAGCGCCTCGATCCCTCTCGTACGCGGCTTCAAAGGTCGCGGTCTGAGCTTGGCTCTAGTTTCACTCCGGCGCTGTCCTCGAGACAGTCTGGGTTCCCCCCCCCTTTCGCCTGATGAATGCCGCTTTGTGTTGTGGCCCGAAACGTCGTGAGTTTTTGTTGTGTCGCCTTATCTTCGTTTTTTTTATTATTTAACCTGCTACGTGACCTTACCGAATAGAGCCAGAGACTAATGAAATGTTCCCTACTGGCAATGTCAGAACTCCACGACTCCCGTAGCTTTGCCAAGGGGACCCCGGTGGGTGATCGTGGGCAACTAAGAGGCCCAAGCCGAAACGTACAACATGTACAAAAGAAAGTTTACGAATGATTGTTTTTTTAATATTTAATGATAGAATGTAGCATTGTCATCGGTGTGGCATAAGCATAGCGAGTTTGCAGTTGGCACCGCCTTTGGGAAGTGGGTGAACATTGAGTTGCAAGATTTGAAGATACAACAACAGCAGGCAGAGCGAGTTAATAATTAATTAATAAATAAAACACGTTAAAAAATAACGTTTGAAAATACGTTTATTTTTTATTTTTTATATTTTTATTTTTAAATCATAGACTATAGTTATTGTCTCATCGGTATGACGAAAGCATATCAAGTTTGCAGTCGGCAGCTAGATCAAACGTGGGCAAAGTACGGCCCGATGGGCTTCTTAACCCGGCCCGCTGAACTTAGCCCCCAAAATATAAATATTATTATTATTACTATTATTAAATAAAATTTTCCCCTTCTCCTTACGCCGTGTTTCCGTGTCGTACGTGTTCGTGCAATTCGTTAACGTTGCCTCGCTAATAAACGCTTCGCTGCCCGCTGGAAAAGGCCAAATCCCTTCACGCATTGATATATATATATTTTGTTTTATTAACCGCGTCATTTATATTCAGTTCACACGAACGCTCCATCCATCTCTTCGTGGCCCGGCCCCCCACATTGTGGCCCACCCCCCCCCCCCGGCCCCCCGCTAGCGCCCCAGAAACTCCCACCCCCCCGTCGCCCGATCGGCTTCGAGGCTGGAGCGGCGAAGCTTGCCCCAGTGTGCCCCCCCCTCGGGGAATTAATTTTGACCGCTCGACGGACGAAAATATTATTCGGCGTGCGGCTATTCTTGCTTGCGTGGTGGAGGCCGGGGTGCCTCGCCGGTAAGCGGCTCGCAAAAATCGCTTCCAAGCAACGGGCCCGTCGACGGATCGATGCCGATTGCCGGCAGTGGGATCCATCGGGCGACGGTAAGCGGGCTGACTTTCGATCGCGGGATTTGAGCGTCTTTGGAGAGTCCGAGACCCGCTGAAGGAGGAGATCGAGGGCGGAAATCCATCACAGAGCAACAGTCGGCGCCTCGCCTGGGTTTGGACCGACGTCCCTCCAAAGGTTGCTGAACTTTTGCGTCCATCCCCTCGAGCGCGGTGCGTGTCTCAGCTGTGCGGGAACCTATTCCCATATCTTGTTACTGGCAAAGAGGAGGTGTCATAATGTAAACGCTCACCCCCCCCCCCCCCCCCCCCCCCCCCCCCCCCCCCCCCCCCGAGCACCTCAAGAACTCTGATGGTGCGCTGTTTTTTTGAGTTGTGCGACGCCTTTTTGGCGTCTTCTGGTCCGGCACCAGTGGAGAGACTAAAGGGGCTCTGAGAAAAGCCGTCTCGGGTGTGGACCAATCAAATTCAAGGACAGTGCCAATAATATTATTATTATTAATCAGAGTTGTCTCTTTTTGTTGCATTTGACTGCTTGTGTTGTGGTCTATTGCAAACATGATGCCTTCTTGAATAAAGGTGTCAGTTTTTGTGCCAGTTTAAAAGGGTAAAACCTATTCTAGATCTTGATGTGAAGCTTTCGTTGCCTGCGGGAGTCCATGGCAATCTTTAATTATTTCGGTAAAGTCATCTCGTCTGCCCGGAGCGGGGGTTCAGCCAACACCTCTTCGCGACGAGGCGAAGAGAGAGAAGAGAAAGAGAGAGAGAAAGAGAGAGACCCCTCTTCCGACGAGCTTCCAAGATTGTCAAGCACGAGTTGACTGTTCTAAGTTTTTTTTATTTTAAATTATTTTATTGTTTCCCTTCTACGTGACTTTACCGAAAGAACCGATAATATAGGGTTTTGTTTTCTCAGTCATTCTCACCTGATGACGGTTGCTTGTGTTGCAATCGAAACGTCGTTTTATATTATTGAATGTATTTCTCTACCTACCTACTACGCGTATGCTTTACCGAAAGAATCAAAGGGGGCGTGGATTACCTGCGGTCTTCTCCTCGGAGCGGGG